GGTTGCAGTGAGCTATGATGATGCCACTGCACTCTAGCCCAGGTAAGAGAACAAGACCCTGTCTCAAAAAACAGCAAAAACTTTCCATGTGTTCCAGACCCTCAGTGTGTTCTCGGGGTGTCAGCAGGAACAGGCTGGGGACACCCTCACTATGTCCCTCACAAGCTTTCAGGGAACAGCTCATTCTAGATACGACCTTGAGTCTCTCCTCACTTCATCTTCTTTTTGCAGCTCGGAACTTTGATCTGCAGAAATCTGAGAACATGCTCCGGCAGGTGAGGCTCCGTTAGCCTTGATGTCCCATACACTGCGCCCTGGGGATTGGGACAAAGAGTGGGGACTCTCGCCCCATCCCATTCTCATGTTTCTTCTTCCTTCCTCCTTGGATCCTTTCTGCATCAGACGTGGGTCCCCGCAGCCCTCCTCCTGTCCCCATGCCCAGGGCTGCTGGTGGAGCCTAGGTATGCTCTGACAGGATCTTGGCTGCTGCGGGCAGAGGGACCTGGCCTGGTGTCCTCAGGTGCCCCACAGAGGCCTTTGAGACAGGCAGTGTCTTTAGCTCTTGCCGTGTCCCTGCAGCACGTGGAGTTCCGGAAGCAACAAGACCTGGACAACATCCTCTCGTGGCAGCCACTGGAGGTGAGCCCCATGCAGCAACCCTCAGGCCACCTGATGCCCTCCCCCACCTCCCCCCTCGCCCCCACGTCCAGCCACCTGATGGAGCAAGGACCTTACCCACATGCCCAGGTGATCCAGCTGTACGACTCGGGTGGCCTGTGCGGCTATGACTATGAAGGCTGCCCTGTGTGGTTCGACATCATCGGGACCCTTGACCCCAAGGGTCTCCTCCTGTCCGCCTCCAAGCAGGAGCTGATCCGGAAGCGCATCAGGGTCTGCGAGCTGCTGTTGCGTGAGTGTGCGCTGCAGAGTGAGAAGGTGAGCGGCTGGGCTGGGGGTGCACGGTGGACCTAGCCTGCCTAAAGGGTGGCACCCTATCCCCCACCTCTCCCCGTCCTCAGCTCCCCGAGCTCTGGGGGAACATGGGCTTCTCCCACCGTTGCCCATCCTTGAGCAGCTACCATGTGTGTGACACTGCTGGCGTGAGTGAAGGGCCACCAAAGCCTTTACATGAGACACTGACATGGGGTGCAGCTCTGTTCCCCTGGAACCCTGGGAATGGTGGACAGTCAGCTTTGCTTCTGGAAGAGACGTCCCCTCACTATAAACTGCATAACTATAAATGCCTGATGTGCACCCCTGAAAGCAGTGACCCTGGAAACTGGGCACGTCCCTTGTGGGACCCCGCAAAAAAATATTGAATCCTATGGGGCATGGGGCTTCTAAGCCAAGAAGGACTCCATGTCCGCCTTTGCAGATCTCACGTCCTTGTCCCTGAGCTGTCCCCTGACCCTCTGTGTCATTCAGAGTGAATCTAGTGCCAAGTGTGGCCTTGTTGGTTTTGTCAGTCTAAGCGTCTAAATGCGCGTAGGAGGAAGACCCACCTGGTGGGGGTGGTATGTCACTGTGACGCCATCTGGCTAATGGCTGACTGCACATGACGAGGGTGGGGCCCGCATCACCAACACCTGGTACAAGGCTCGACACAAAATAGTCCCTCAACAGAGATCCGTGGCAAGCATGCGTGAATTGCAAAGCACTATTCAGTGGCAGGTTTGAAAAGATGTACGTCTCCCAAACAAGGGAGCTGATCTTGTTGGGTTGACAAAGTTTCTTCCACTTCGTGGATGTCCCTGGTTGGAGCTGATAATGATGGTGATAATGTCACCAATACTATCTGCTAGTATCTATCAGAGACCTGCCACGTGCCATGCACTGGGCTCTTTGTGCATCATCTCACTGGGTTCTCACGGCAATTCTATCAGAACGTGGAATTCTCTGGTATTAATATTATTTTACAGAGGAAGAACCTAAGGGTTAGAGGGGTTAAAAAACAGTCTGAGGCCATGCATCCTGCCAGCAGCGTAGCTCTAGCTTGGACACAGCCATGGGACCACAGAACACTGGCTGACATCGCCTATTATTGTACATAAAGATGCCCAATGCGTAACGAATGATGTCTTTAATTCTACGGTTAACTTACTCCAGGCAGTAGTGTTGAGCAAAGTGTGATAACACCATGAATCAGACGGTGCCAGGGCTTAGATGCGGCGTCTCCGTAGAACCTGGATGGGCTCCATCTGTTTGGAAGACACTGTGGGCTGCCAGCGGGAGTAGGGTGGCAGGGCAGCGGGGAGAAGAGCCTGAGTCTCCCTGGCTAAGGTCTCCCAGCTGGAGCTGTTGCCTGAGCAATGTTCCTGCTCTGTCCTGTGTAGCTGGGCAGGAAGATCGAGATGGTGTTGATGGTATTTGACATGGAGGGGCTGAGCCTGAAACACCTGTGGAAGCCAGCTGTGGAGGTCTACCAGCAGGTAAGGTGGGCAGCTGGCTTGACACTGGAGCAGCAATGGTTCCCAGGCTGGTAGGGAGCCGCTGCCCACACCAACCTGGGAACCTTGGTCCGTAGGGAGCAGCGTGCCAGCCAGTGACACTAGCCAGGGTCCACCTTCCAAAGAGAAAGAATAACACAGAGGAGGAAGCACACGTTCATGGGGAAGGCGACACGGGCTGGGGATGGGCCTCTTGTCTCAGCAGCATCAGAGGCCACAGAAACCCAGGGGTAGGGGATGCTAGAACATGGCCTTGACCAGACTCATCTTGACTCCACAGTTTTTTGCCATACTGGAAGCAAATTATCCTGAGATGCTGAAGAATTTAATTATTGTTCGAGGTGAGCCCATGACCGGGATGACCTCCTGGGGAGGGCAGGGATAGCAGGTACACCGTTGAGTTCAGGGCTTCTCAAATCATCCTTTGTGAAGAACCAGTTTTTTGTTTATTTGGTTTCTGTTTTCGATCTGTAGTTCCACTCCTTCCCAGACAAATACTTTTGTAATATACAAAGGCGTGGCTGGTATGTTGAAGCAATCTCACCTAAGTTATAAGTTTCTAAATGTTTGCTGTTATTTTCTTTACTTATTTCAACATGGACTGGTAACACACTGTCCATGGACCGCGCTGGTTGATGGACATACTTTGAGTGGGGCTGGCTCCCGTCCGAGATGGCCTGTGTAGTGAGGGGGTCACCATGTGTGCTCTGAAATCAGGTGATCTGGGTTCAAATCTAACCAACTCTATGACTTTGAGCAAGTCTATTTAACCTCACTGAGCCTCAGTTTTCCCACTCTGTAAAATGGGGCTCCAAGAGCACCCTCCCCATAAGATAGCTGTGAGGTTAAATGAGACAGTCTGCGGAGAAGACACAGAGCCTGGCCCACAGACAGTACTCAGTGTGCAAGAGTTATTCAGGGTGGGACAGAAAGTCTAGTGCAGTCACCTCATCTGCTTGCACCCAAGAGGATTCCAGCATAACCTGGGAAAACCTTGAGTGTGGAAAGGAAGTGTTATCACTGGGGAACCAACTTTGCTGGTGCCAGCTTGTGCTCAAGACCTTACAACTGGGTTGGGGGAGGCAGTTGTTTATTGAAAGCCAGGCACTGTGCCCAGTGTTGCATATACATTATTTACTCTCCATTTTACAGTTAATAGCACTAAGACTCAGAGAGGGTAAATAATTAGATGAAGGTCACACAGGAGGGAATGGCAGAATCCATATCTGTCCAACTCTTGTCCAGCATGTGCCCTTGGCCGTGGCTTTATATACCCAAGTCCTCGCTTGTCTAGCTCCCCACGGGACCTTTGTGTGTTTCAGCCTCCAAACTATTCCCCGTGGCCTTCAACTTGGTCAAGTCCTTCATGAGTGAGGAGACACGCAGGAAGATAGTAATTCTGGGAGGTGAGTGATTTGGCTTCCTGACATCTGCCTGGGAAGCAGAGGTCAATGCTAAAAGCCCCTTCCTCCCTGGCTCATCCTCTTGACTCAGGCACTGACCCTGGCCCGACCCCAGTCAGCCTCAGCGTGCACAGGCAAGGCCTAGGGTACTAGACCATGTCCTGGGAGCCACATAAAGCTCTTGGGTGCTCTTAGAGCAGCACCTAGGGGAGCAAGCCAAGCACATATGAGGTCCCCTCACTGGGCTCGGCCCCGCTGCCCTCTGTTGAGTCTCCTGAGCCCCTTCGGAGCCCCCCTCCTGCCCCCACACAGACAACTGGAAGCAGGAGCTGACCAAGTTCATCAGCCCCGACCAGCTGCCCATGGAGTTTGGGGGGACCATGACGGACCCCGACGGCAACCCCAAGTGCTTGACCAAGGTACAGAGAGCCCAGAGGGTGGGGAGGAGGGGAGACAGCGTGGTCCAGTGCCTGCTCACCCACCCTCATCCACAGATCAACTACGGGGGCGAGGTGCCCAAGACCTACTACCTGCGCAACCAGGTGAGGGCGCAGTACGAGCACACGAAGTCCGTGGGCCGCGGCTCCTCCCTGCAGGTGGAGAATGAGATCCTGTTCCCAGGCTGTGTGCTCAGGTAGGGATGGTGGCCACTCCACACCTGGGCACAGCTGGGAGGGGCTCCAGAGCCCAGGCAGGTGTTCGTCACTGGGACTCTGTCGTCCACTGCAGGTGGCAGTTTGCATCAGATGGTGGGGACATCGGCTTTGGGGTTTTCCTGAAGACCAAGATGGGGGAGCGGCAGAGGGCTGGGGAGATGACGGAGGTGCTGCCTAGCCAGCGCTACAACACCCACCTGGTGCCCGAGGACGGGAGCCTCCCCTGCCTCAAGGCTGGTGTTTGTAAGAGCTGCAGGGTTCACTGGAGTGGTTTTCCCCCTCATGGTGGAGAAATGAGCTGACCGTCTCTGGCCAGTCTACCCCATGTTTGCCCTCTATTTCCAGGTCTCGGGGAGGGTGTGGGGACTGTGTAAGCTCCTCCATGCCATGGCTCCAGTGGAGCTGTCTCCTGGGGTCAGGGAGCTGATGAGTGGCCCGTACATGTGGGTGCAAAGGCAGAGACTCATTGTGGAGGAAGAGCCGGGGTTCAGAGCCCAGAGCCTTGGGGTCATCTCCTGGGAAGTCCCCACACCAGGCTTGTCAGGCGAAGAGACAGGTACGTAGCAGCCATGGGCTCCCTTGTGGCAAGGGAGAGTTAGGAGAGTGGAGACGGCGACATCTGCATGACTCCCCAGGTCCCAGAGTTCGACAGACCTTGGCAGTGAAGGAAATGCCTTCTGCGAGATGGAAAAGCGGCTCCATAGCTCGGCCCTTTCCTCTGGGGGAAGCAGGGCTCCTCCCTGGGTTGGGACATCAGGATAAGAGAAAGCCAGTCCCTCCCTTCATTGCTCTGTGATCGCTGGAAAGTCGGATCATCTCTCTAAGGCTGTTTCCTCCTCTATAAAATGGAGGTGACAGTACCTTCCACATGGGGCGGCTTCAAGGATTCGGGGAGCTGCGACTGCCTCTAGTGGGGTGCCTGGTGCATAGAAGGGGCGTGTGCATGCTGGCGGTTGTCATTCCTTTACGGAGCACAAGCATCGCCCAGGCAGATTGTCATAAGCAACGGGCTTAGGTCTGAGTGGGGCACCAGGAGTGCGGATGTGCCGGGCCGCGCTCTGCCTGATCACCTCTCCGTCATTGCAGACGTCCTGCGCTTCGATAACACCTACAGCCTGGTGCACGCCAAGAAGGTCAGCTACACTGTGGAGGTGCTGCTCCCCGACAAGGCCTCCGAGGAGAAGTTGCAGGGTCTCGAGGCAACGAGACCCTCCCCAGAGCAATGAAGACCCCGGCCGCCGCCTCTGTGCCTGTGCTCTCCAAACCCTTCTCACCCTCCCGGGGCCCCTGCCCTCCAAGCAGGGTGGTGCTGAAGGTGGCTGCAGAGAGCCACCTACCCTGTGTCACATCTCAGAAGGGGGACAACCAAAGCCTAGGCCGCCCTGAAGATTCAGAGAATGGGAGTGAGAATGAGAACCCTGAGGAAGGGTCCTGCCTGTAGAAGCTGCCCTCGCGTCCCTCCCGACAAGATCCACCCACCCCAAGACTCGCCCACACCTAGTGTCCCAGCTTGGGGCTGTGTGCATAGGCCCTTGGCCCTGCAGGGAGCACAGCTTCAGGCCTCGAGAGCAGAGAAGCCCTGTTTTCTGCAGGTGGAGGCCAGCAGGGATGGGCAGGGGAGATGGGGCAGGGGTGAGGGTCCTGGTTCCAGCAGAGCTTCCAGGTCTGTCCAAGCTTTTTCTTCTGCCTTTGGAGGGAAAATCAGAAATGGAGAAGTGGGACCCCTGGGTGTGGCTATATGGGTTGACTCCAGGGAGCAACGAAGCCATCAGCCAGAGCCTGGGAGCCCAGGCTGTGCTGCCCTGCCCCCTCCCCACTCTGCCCTCTGCCCCTGGCTGGGCCAGGCCAGTGGCCACTGGTATCTCAGAAGACCTGGGCCCATGGCTCGGGGTCGTTGCACCTGCTGTTTGTCCTTATGGGTTTCCGTCCCACAGGGCAAAAGAGTACTGTCCACCAGTGATGGCCCTGAGGGTGAAAGGTCGGTCAGATGTCCCTGTAAAAGGGGTCCCTGTTGCAATGCAGTAGCATCCCAGATGCCAAGCCCCTCCCAGAGACCAGAAGCCTCCACAAACGCCATCTGTCCAGGTGCTTTGCAAGCAGGAAGCCAGGCCCCAGCCCCTTTCCTGCCCCCAGAGGCTGTGATTTCACTTTCTCCAGTTAATAAAGGCTTTCTCAATTACCCAGGACCTATTTTAGGTGAGAAAATGATGAGCCTTGAGAAGGTGGGGTCCTCAGGTGAGCACTGCGGGGTCTTTGGGGCCCCCAGCCCCTGCAGTTGGGGCAGCTGCGCCATTCACAGGTGCACATGCATAGAGTCTGAACACAGGCCCTGCTGCTATAAAAGGCATACTAAGTAAACTAAACGCCTAGAGCCAGTGCCACCGGGCAAGTGACAAAGGGGTCGGGTGCAGGCACCAGCGACTGAATCCCAGAGCTGGGGGAGCACGCCTAGTGGCCTAGCGGTTACACGGGGAGTTCAGTAGTCACCTGCGGAGGTGAGAGCAGGACCTTCTACCAGGCAAGGTGGGCCGGGGCACATTGGGAGCTCTGCTGGGGATCTGCCCTCAGCAACCCCATCCCTAACTCTTAACAGTGTCACTTTAAAAACAAAAAAAAAGGAAATCGCCCAGAGCAGGGCGGGGCGCTGGTTTGCCCAAAGTTTTTTTCTCCATTTATTCTTTTGTTCTTAAATGTTTACTGGGTATCTGCCAACACCAGGCTCTGCAGGCCCTGGGGACACCAAGGCACTTGCCCCATGGTGGGAGGCGGAAGTGACTCTGATGATCAGTTAGCGAGTGGGGGTGTCGTCACCACGCGTGCTTGTGGGGACAGGAGCTGAATTCTGGGGGAGAGCCCAGCAAAGAAATCTGATGGGGTCAGATGTTCTTTGCCCAAGATGGTGACCCTGAAGGGAGAGCGATTGGATGTGGGGGTGACTGGGTGCAGGTGAACCTTCCAGACTGAGGAATGGGGTGTGGGTGGCCGGGGGGCCTGGGGGTGTCTGAGGAGCCAGAGGGGCTCTCCTGGCCTTGGGCAACACTGGTAACATTTGCTGTTTCTTCATGAACAACTGTGTGCACATTAGATAGCTTTTAATAAAACTCTTTTATCATTTGGGTTGCGAAACAGAGCCTTCTTGCTTGTCAGTAAAAAATGGCAAAAATCTTGGCAGGAGGCCACAGATGAAAACTCTTGGTCAAAAATTGAGTGTTTGGGCCAGGCGTGGTGGCTCACGCCTGTAATCCTAGCACTCTGGGAGGCTGAGGCGGGTGGATCATTTGAGCTTAGGAGTTCGAGACCAGCCTGAGCAAGAGTGAGACCCTGTCTCTACTAAAAATAGAAAAGAAATTGGCCAAACAATTAAAAAAATAGAAAAAATTAGCCGGGCATGGTGGCGCGTGCCTGTAGTCCCAGTTACCTGGGAGGCTAAGGCAGGAGGATCGCTTGAGCCCAGGAGTTTGAGGTCGCTGTGAGCTAGGCTGACGCCACGGCACTCTAGCCCGGGCAACAGAGCGAGACTCTGTCTCGAAAAAAAGAAAAAAATTAAGTGTTTGGAAACACCCAGGCCTCATTTGTCCGGGGCATGGCGGCAGTACCTACCCTTCCCAGCCCATCTCCTCGCTGAGGGTCCCGCAATCTTCAGGGTGACGCAGGTGGAGATCAGGTGGGATCCATGGCATGGTCTGATGGCAGTTGGAAAGGTGCCCCTGCCCTAGCCCAGCTCACCTCCCAAGGAGCCTGGCCAGAGGGAATGTCACTGTGAGAGAGTCTCAGGTACCCAGAGCGGGTCTTCAGCAGAGCTCCACAGCACAGCGCTCTACAGTTTGCACAGCCCCTTTACATTAAACCCTGACGCAGACAGGGGTAATAGCCCCACTTCACAGGCCACGAAGCCTCGGTATCCAATAGAGGAGCTGCAGCCAGCATCCAGGTCAGCTGCCGGCAGTGCCCCTGCCCTGCCTCTCGGGGGGAAAGAGGGTGCCACTATGGGGCAGGGGGCACACAATGCGACAGAGTAAGGTGCTGGGTTCCTGGGGTGGAGGGAAGTCCCAGGGACTGCAAAAAGCTGCTCAGACGTTTGTGCCTCTTGGTGGGAGGTGACGGTGCCAGTGCCACACTCCCGAACGCCTGCTGGGTGCCAGACCCAAGCTGAGGCAGGAAGCATCGCCCCCAGTTTACAGATGAGAAGAGTGATGCTCAGGGTAGGAAGTGACTTGTCATATCACATAACATAAAGAAAGATGTGATCCTGGGTCCCTCTGTCCAGACAGCCCAGGAGATGCTGAGCACACTGGGGAGGAGCCGCTGGGCCAGCACCTCCTCCCGCCCCTCCTCCCGCCTTGCTTGGCAGGGGGAGGGGGAGAAATCTCTGCCTTTGGCCACCAGGGGGCGGTGTTGGGCTGGCTGCACCTCTGTCCCCCAGGGGCGTGAACAGGGACAGCCCTTCACATCTGGCTCATTGAACAGGTGAGTTGAGGCCCTAAGAGGCCCAAGCTGTCTGTGGGGCCTCTGGAGTGGCAGAAAGAGGCACAGGTTCTACCCCCTGTGTTCCTACCCCCTCCCATCCAGACTCCCAGGGCAGTCAGAAAAATCTTCCTGCAATGAAAATCTGATCATATCACTTCCTGTGTACGCCCTTTGCTGGTTCCTCATTTCCCCTTGGGTAAAATCAGTCTTGTTGGTGGCTTACAAGGCCCTCTGTGACCCAGCCACTATGCCCCCCGCCCCGACTCCGTTCCAGCTCCATCAACGCCTTGAATTCACCAATTCATCAAGCTCCTTCCTGCCTCCCTGTCTTGGCTCATGCCATTCCCTCAGCCTAGGACTCCCTCTCCAACCTTGTTCTGTGCATCCGCAAGGTCAGAAGAGTCCTTTTCTGGAAGGCCTTCCCTAGGTCCCACTACCACCTGGGCCCTAGCAGGCAGGGTCCCTTCTCCGCACTCACAGAGTAACTGGACCAGAGCTCATCATGTGATAACAGTCATCATCTGCCTCGTGTCTGACTCCATTCACCCCCAGAAGCTCCATAAAGCCTGGCAAAAAATAATAGATAGCATTTACTGAGCACCTGGACAGGCTTGCTGCTCTAACTACACTACCTTGTTTAACCTTTGTGGCAGATTGTCAAATAATCATGCCCATCTTACAGGGGAGGAAAGTGAGGCTCAGAGAGAAAAAGTCATTTGCTCAGTGGTGGCACTGGGACTGGAATTGGGGACGTCTGACTCCAGAGCCACGTGCCTTCCTGGGCCATCCACCCCTGGAGGTTGGGTCATTCCAGGAGCACAGCCAAAGGGCAGTCTGGCAGCCAGACTCAGCACTGTAAAGAGATCCAAGGAGAGGGCTGGCAGGGCAGCCACAGAACAGGCGAGAAGGAACCAGAAAGGATGGGCTCACCTAGCTGTGTCCTAGTCCTGGAGTTGAAGGCAGGCTGGGTGACCAGCCCAATAAAAACAGTACAAGCCTACACTATTGATCACTTACCATGTGCCAAGTGGTAGATGAGATACCTTATTGGCCTATTCTGTACTGACCATCTCAGTACCTAATAAGAAGGGGATGTTATCAGCCCCGATTTACAGGTGGAAAAACTGAGACTCAAGATCACACAACACATTAGAGGTGAAGCTAGGATTCAAACCAAGGTAGCCAAGCCCATGTTTCAGCATCTTACATTTCTGAACAATTTGGGAATTATTTGTTCTGTGTCAGTAAAGGAATTACAACTGCTTGGGCTGTTTTGTTGGTGGTCACCCCAGACATAGTCCCCCTTTTGAGTAGTCTTAGGCTGTACAGGCTTTCCAAGGATGTCAATGAAAGCAGAGACCAGTTTGGCATGAAGAATTTGAGATATTCGATGCCCTTTGGATGCCCCCAGGCATTGAGGGAAGGGATGTGCCAGCTCCAACCCTGGACAACATATAAATTAAGACCTCTTCCACTTTGCAGAATCCTTCACTATCCTCCCTACTCCTACCACCATAACATCCTATGATAAGTAGCAAAGGTGTCATATAAGAGCAGAAAGTGAAGAGTCTATGAACTTGACCAGGAGCTGTGTCCCCAGCTCAGACATCTTTGGGGTCTCCTCTTGCAAGTCTTGACTTTTTGGTGGCTGTTGGTATTTTGTGGCACAGACAGCAGCAGTATCATCAACATCATCATCATCATCATCATTATCATACTGAATTTTATTTTCTAAGTGATGAAGGGAGATAAAACCAGATGATAAAGAATCTACATCAGGAAAAAAAGCTACTAGAGCTAACAAACAAGTTCAGCAAGGTTGCAGGATATAAGATTAATATACAAAAATCGGTTGTATTTCTATACACTAATGATGAGCAATCTAAAAATGAAAGTAAGAAAATAATTTCATTTATAATAGCATCACAAAGGATAAAATACTCAGGAATAACTTTAACCAAAGAAGTGCAAGACTT